AAGCTATTCAGTCCAAACGTGCTGTTCGTAAGAAGCGGTCGTCAAAGAAAACTAGTGGGAAAGGAAAAACTTGCAAAACCCGTAAAGTGAAAGGGAAAGGAAAAGGGAAAAAAGGCAAAAAACGCACTAAGAAGCAAACTTTTGACGATATATTTGGGTAAAAATGTCTTTCGTTCATGCCAATAGTTGTGACTGCTCTAAATCCGAGTTGGATTTATTCTCTTTACCTCCGACTCAATCTCATATAGAACACGGGCAGTGGGTAGTGTATAAACCTATTTCTTCGCTACAAGATCAAACTCCGATAGAATTTGTCGTAGCCGGGCAGGGAAGTGATTACCTTGATTTATCTCAGTCTCTATTGAGTATTAAAGCTAAAATAGTGAAAAATGATGATTCAGCTTTAGCCGCAGCTGATGATAATCTAATCGGGCCCATTAATAACTGGATGCATTCGTTGTTCAGTCAAGTTGATGTTTATTTGAATCAGAAAATAGTGTCTTCGTCGAGTAACGCGTATCCTTATAGGGCATATTTTGAAAATTTACTAAGTTATGGACCTGGCGCTAAAAACTCTCATTTAACGTCAGTTTTATGGTATAAAGACACGGCAGGTCATATGGAAGTTGCTGATAACGCGGGTTTGACATCGCGTCGCGGTTTTAGTAAACGAAGCAAAACTGTTGAGATGATCGGACATATTCATAGTGACATTTTCTCTCAGGACAAAATGCTGTTGAATAACGTTGAATTAAAATTAAGATTAGTTAGATCTCGTGATGATTTTTGCTTATTAGGTCAGGCAGGATATAAAGTGAAAATTTTCGAGGCTAATTTGTTCGCTCGCCGTGTCAAAGTTTCACCCAGTGTTTTGATAAGTCATGCCAAGGGTCTTGAGAGCACAACAGCAAAGTATCCCATCACCAGAGCCGACGTTAAATCAAACACCGTCCCGGCCGGTGTTCACAGTGTATCCCTCGATAATGTAGTCAGCGGTCAGCTCCCTACGAGAATTATTATGGGTATGGTTTCCAACACAGCTTTCAATGGTGATGTTACATTAAACCCCTTCAATTTTCAGAATTTCGGACTAGATTTTGCATCATTTCACATAGACGGTCAACAAATTCCGGGTGTTATTTTAACTCCAAATTTTGACTCGGAGGAGTACATTAGATCGTTCCATACTCTTTTCTCAGGCACCGGTATTCATTACTCAGATTCAGGAAACGAAATTGATAGGACGGAGTATAAAAACGGATACGGACTTATCGCACTCGATTTTACTCCTGATCTCGAGGCTCACATTAAGTCTCATTGGAGTCTCGTGCGTCACGGAAGTTTGAGAATAGAGCTGCGTTTCAAAGCGGCGTTGGCCGAAGCCATCACTGTCATTACCTATGCTGAATTCGACAACGTGATAGAGATAGACAAAAGCAGAAACGTTATCGTCGATTTTGGCGCCTGATCTTGAGCGATTTCCATATTTTACCCCCTTCAATATGAATTCCCTGGAAGTGTATGCAACCCTCAAAACTTTACCCGTTTATACTGCAGTTTACGCTGCGAACAGGTTACCTCTGTCCATTTCTTACCCATGCGCTATAATTGTCAATACTGATCCGGATTCAAAACCGGGAACCCACTGGATAGCAATTTACATTGATAAATTTCAAAACGGTGAATATTTTGACAGTTACGGCCTACCACCGTTTGTCTCTCAGCATAAAAAATTCTTAAGAGCAAATTGTAAGAAATTCCTTTACAACACGAAAGAGATGCAAAGCCTTGATTCTAATGTTTGCGGTCAATATTGCCTCCTTTATCTTTATTTCAGATCACATGCTAGGTCTCTATTAGATTTTCAAAGATTTTTTTCAGGCGATACTTTAAAAAATGATAAAATTTTAAAATTAAATTATCGGAAATACTTCAGTTTTGTAAAAATTGAAAAAAGACATTCCCACAATAAAATTCAGTCTTCTCGTTGCCGTGGGCTACACCTTGCCCGTAGAAAATTCTTGTTTTAAAAATTGAGAAAAAATACAAATTAAGGGGAGAATATAGGGGTAGAAATTAGGATAGGTGTGTGTGCGTGCACAGTCGGGAAACCGGTTCTGATGTAGGGGAGGTCCAGGTCCCACAGGGGGTTGGAGCCCTCGGATTCGGGAGTGGTGGTGTGCTGGCCTTCTCCGCCAAGCTTACTTATAGCCCTGGCCTATCTCATTTTCTTACTGTTGCACCCAGAATTTTGCGTTTTCTCATTCTCTTCTCAACGTTACTTTACTTGCACTTGACTCCCTAGTCAAACCGCCCGGTGTTTTCCGCCCTTTCTTGCTCACTCCGTAACCGCTCATCTAATCATGGATTCCGAATCCGAAAGAACAGCTCCCGGTCCTCTTGTTCTCAAGACCATCGGGAATTCCTGTTTTTTCATCTCTCCTGAAGGCGTGAAGCAAATTGTCGTCGGTCATACATGTGATGAACAGTTCGAACCTGTGATCAAGTTTTACAAACATAGTAAAGCACAAAATGGACTTGCACTGAACGTCGCAGAATGGCGTGCATTCTACTACAAGGACAGTGACATCGACTCTGAATTCCGAAGAGGTG